AACCACAATGGACACAATCATCTAATCAAACTTAAATTAAATGCAAACGAAATGCCAGTTTGTACACACATCATCTGCTTTGTGAAATGACTTTTTAATGTTACCATACTTCATCAAACATGAACTTCATTCATCTTTTTTGACTGTTTCTATGTTAAATACTATTGTATCTGCTGTCTCCTCCACCCAGAGCCCATATCCAGGCCCTACATCCACATGGAATCTACATCAGTGCTGGAGCTCAGCGAGAATGTTGTCCTCAACTGCTCCCATGACAACGGAACCCGGACCACGTACAGGTGGTTCAAAGGTGGGAAGCCGCTGACCAATGAGACGAGGTTCGTGCTGTCGCCTGATCAGAAACTGCTGACCATCCTGAGGGTACTGATGAAAGATGATGACATCTACAGCTGCACTGTGGAGAATCCTGTGGGCAACGTGACCAGTCTGCCCATCAGGCTGACTGTGTACAGTAAGTGATGCTACCTCAGCTGTCAGAGTTAAACACAACATGACAGACAGGATGACAAGAGCAGCAGAATAAAAGGAGGATCTTTTATCTGAAAGAACAGTAAGCTGTCCAGGTAGAAAGACTAGATTTATACGCTTTGTAAAACATTAAATTCAAAGGTATATTTTCAGTTTCTAAATGTATTAGTCATCAATAATTTAATGCGATCAGAAAATCAGAACTAAGCGACACGAATGCTCTGCTTTAAAGATGGAGTACGTGATTCTAATCCAAAACATAGTGAATACAAGTTTACATACTCTTGTAAAGTCCATGTATTTCATGGCAGTCTTAACTTTCCAGTGACTCCTATAGCTCTGAATTTTCTAAGATGGATTAGTTGAAACACATGCAGCTTTGTCACAAGAAACCATCATGCATTTTGCTTCTTTCACAGATTTATTATAGGTCTTCTGAAAATATGACCAAATCTGTTGGGTCAAAAATATACATACAGCAACTCCATTGGTTCGGTGGCATATAGGAACAGAACTAACATACTTTGATCTCTTGAGACTATGAGATTACCCAAACAACTGAACACTGGACATGTGAAGATGACCTGTCATGTCCCAGTCTTGTACATTCTTCTGCTGTTGGTTTGTTGTTTATTAACTGTAACCCTTCCAGGAAGAAGTTCCCTCTATATCATCCTGTCCACCGGAGGCATCTTCCTCCTCATCACTTTGGTGACAGTTTGTGCCTGCTGGACGCCATCTAAAAAGTGAGACTCGCTATGAGGCTTCAAAATCAACCATTAATGACACAAGATTCATTTACATCAAAAGGCTGTGTTAAAGTGCAAACAAGCAAATTTTATAATATGAATGCATTTTGTGTTCTTAGGCGAAAACATCCACCCAGAAAACCTCTGCCGAGGTTTTATGATCACCCTCATCACACACCAATCAGTCACACAGGTAAAATGTTATCTGTTTTAATGTGATGACCGTTCATACAAACTGATTTTCTTTTTTTTTTCAATGTAATCAAAGAATTAGTAAAACGTTCTTAAATGACAGTCCAGCGTTTTGTGCTTTTCCACAGATGACATGCTTCCAAAAACGACGGAGCACAATGGAGTTAATGCCGTAACTTCACTTTACATCCTCCAACAAAAGGTAAATCTTTCATCCACTTTTTGATTTCATTACATTCTGACTCACGAGAAGTGGCAGCACTTAAAATCAGAAGCATTTCTCCCTGATGTTGGGTCTACAGACGAACGATAAACCATTGCTCATGTTAAGAAAACAAGAGCAACTCAGTGCAGCCAGTTTACAGTGTAGAGAACTTACAAATGTCTTCTGTGCAGTATAACATATTATAACATAAATTATAATGCCATAAATCATAAAAAAGGCAAAATGGAAGTTGAATCTTTTATTATTTTTATTTGTGAGTCCCCCACAAACAATACTGCGTTGGTTTTCATAGACTGGATTGTGCTTTCATCTCTCTTATAAAATCTGATGGTTTTATGAGCTCTCTGTTTTATTTTTTTGCTTCCTTGTGAAGCACATTGTAACTTGGATTTTAAAAAGAGCTCTGTACATTAAGGCTGTTGTCATTATATTAATTAATATAATCACTCTTAGGTTTTCCAAAGTTAAAACACACAATTACAAACACAAAGGTAACAATTTACAAACAAGCCAACAGCAACTATCCCTACAACTGCAGAAACTCATAATCCAAGTCTTCTGCTTATTAACAATCTCACACAGTAAACCAGGAAAACAGAGTCTAAGAATCTTCTACAGAGCATTTTGCACTAACAGGTTGGTTTGTGATAATGTATTTGTGCTGATGTCATCTTGTTTTGCAGGATCCCTCCACAGACGACTCCTCCAGCAACAGCATTGGATCTCCATCTGAATTTGACCACCCTCCATGCTACTCTACTCCCCCCAAGTACACCAGACCTCTGGCCCATTCTAATGGATCTCCTGCTCGGGCCTCCCTTCGATACACCTGATCGCCCAGACGTTTAAACTCTCCACAACGCAGTGAGCAGGAGGTCACAGCGTCCTAATATGTGCTGCTCCTGGTTCTGACTGATCCTACACATCCACCTGGAGTTTGGGAAACATCTCATTTTCCGTTTTTCACAAAAACTGGCTGCCTTTGAATAAAAGAAACTGTAGCATAAATAAGAGATATTTTACAGTTTAGTAAGGAGGAATATAAAGGCAGACAAGTTTTTAACTGACTGTGAAGCTTGTATTTGGGTCACTGATGTCGTAGGTTACTGGAACTCTAAAATCTGGGTTAATGTTTAGCAGGAAGTGTCGGTAAGATGCAACTGTCAGTGTGATAGAAAAAAAAAAGTATCTTTATGTGTGATATTTTCGGTAGTCTTCAGTGAAAGTCTTGTGAAATAATGTATATTAGGGTTTTAGTTCTACTAGATTTAGTGTTTTCAGTATAAATAGAGACAAAGCCATGTTGGAGTAGGCACCATGGTGTTTGAATTTTATACCTACTTTAATAAAAATGTGAAGTTCTCAAAAGTTTGTTTTTTGTTGTATTTCCATATTATTTTTTGAGTCTTGATGTGATTTGATCTTTGATTGAGCAGAACATTTCAGACAGCAGACCTAAGTGTAAATAATCTTTGTTAGGTTGCTGCGTGTTATGCTTGAAGAATACAAGTTAGTTTTGCGCTTGACACTCTGTGTTGTAGTTCTATTGTAGCCTATAGATTAAAATATGTTCAGCTATTAGTAACCTAACTCAATTTTATGAACATTAAGGAGTGTGTGAAATTGTTTGTTGAGCAGTTATGGAAAAATCTACCGGTGTGGTGTGTCTCCTCTGTGTTGGAACTCTAGTGGCCAAGTGTGCTTGTACATCCGAGGAATTTATCTTGTTCAAGTTCAACTTCCTCTAATGTTGAGTTTTCTTTTGAGGTCTTTCATGAATGCAGAAACGGTTTTGCCAACAGTTACATGTCTGACTCCAGAGGCCTCTTAAATACAACTTTGTAGATAGCTACATATATAAAGCTCTTCCTTCGAGCCAGAGTTGAACCAGCAACCTCAGGATAACTCATCTTCTACCTATAGTCCTCCACTCTGCCAACTGAGCTATCGAAAGAAGTAAGAGCTGTACAACTATCAAGCATTTGCATGAATGCAGAAAAAAGGCACAATATTACATCTGGATGTCCTAAAGTATATGAAAAACTACTTTTAAAAAAATAGCAGTCTTGTCCTTGTCATTGTACTGCTTTTAACTGGTCGATGGGTGGCGGTAATGGTCCAGTAAACTGCCAACAAATCCGGACACGAAGAAGAATAACACCATGGCAACGACAACTATCCGCTTGCCGTGTTTTGTGCTGTGTTTAGCTTCTCAAGCTAGCGGTTACTTATAATATCGACTATTTGGAGGAGAGTTTTTGCCGTTTACGTTAACAAATGTGACGTGCGACAAACTAACAGGACATAGAAAGACAACAAAAAAAAAAACGAGTTGGGCGCTACCTCTAGCTAACGAAAAGTGCTACGAGTTAGCATCGAAACAAATACGTTTCGTGGATGTTTACTTAATAAATCCATAACAATGACAGACTGCTGGAACACAGATACTGGGGAAGCTGTGTATCGGTCCCGGGATGCTGTCAAAAACCTGAGAATAAAGTAAGTAGCTGGCAAAAAGTGAACATGTAGAACTCCAACCTATTTTATGTCGACACCACTGAGAGGGGTCGTGAATGCAAATTAAGTTGTGTTGGAAGTTGAGTAGAAGAATCTGCTTGTGCACACACAATCCTGGGTTTCCTCCGCCTCGGGACACATTATTTCAACACGGTTTCCATTTGTTTGTTCGCTTTAGGGTGCGTATAGAGAGGGTGACCTCCACCGCAGCCCTCTCTCAGCACCTCCAGCAGCAGGTTCTGTCCCAGCAGGACAGAGGAGACATTGAGCTGGAGACCCTCACATCACAAGGCCAGACAGGTAAGACGTTTCCTACAGCAGAGAGGAAGAGCTGATGGCCAGAAGAAATTTCACACTTTAGTTTGTTTTCACTAACATCAAATTTGCCTGATTTGACTTATTAATTGTCAGATGAGCGATTGTTTGCAACTAACAGCAGGGTCATTTCAGGTAGCGGCGTTGCTCTGGACCCACAACTAAGTTCTGTAAAATGTTTTCAGTGAATTTAGAAAATTCTGTGTTTTCAGACCAGGGATTTTTGTATTTTCACCCCCTTAATTAAAAGCATCCTATCTGCTCCCACAGCCATGAAATTTGGTGAGGACACAGACAAAGCTGTTTCCCACAGTTCCAGATGATTGAATGCCTCCAGCGGAAACCACATGAAGATAGAAAAAAATAATAATTTTCCAATTAATGATGGTATTGGGGCCCAAGTATCGTAAGCCAACATTCAATTTTTATGCTATTTTGACATGCCAAAAGCCTCATATATTGATACATTTCAATATAAGGGCAACATGAAAGTAACTTTTCACTTAGGACATATAATGACAGGCTCCTATGCACACCAGTTTTTGTGGTCCACATCACCATTTTATCTGTCCACATAACAAAAACTGCAATGTTGGCTTACAGTACTTGCCACACATCAAAATCTACTGATGTTACAAGCCACAGAAGTTAGTGAAATGTTGGCCAATGACCATTTTTTAGTAGGAAATATAGAAACAGCCATATCTGAACATTTACAAGAAAACTTACAATACCATCCTTGTTTTTAATTTTTCATTTGACATTTATGTTACTGTGTCTCCAGGTGATAATGATGAGGAGCTGATTGTGGGCTGGCAGGAGAAACTCTTCAGTCAGGTACAACTTTGAGTGTTTAGTGTAATCGTCCTTCAGCAAATAGTACAAGTCAAAGATTAACAGTTGAAGCTGGTTTTTTTGCAATTGTTACTTGTCTGTTCCTCACATAAATCCAAATTATTATCTGTGTTCCCCATTTATGAACCGTCATGCTTCTCTGTGGTTCTAGTATGAGATGGAGCTATTTCAGAACGAGGCGGCATGTCAGACCCCTCTGGACCGTCAGTACCACGCAGAAGTCAAGGCCCTCAACAGGACCAAGGGGCGACGTAATCACAGGATTTTCACGTACACTGATCACGACCGCTACACCAACTGTCTTCCATTGCACCAAATGGTAGGTTCAACAGTATACGCCACAGAATTATACAACTCTGTCACCAGATGAAGGTCAAGTCCGAATAAGATTAAGGTGATCAAAGTGAGTGAGGGAGTTTCCAATCTTTATGTCTGTTTGAATCTTACACAGTGACTGGTGTCAAATGATTATTATTACTCATTTTTTTCTGAATTCAGATTATTTTATGAAATATATTGAGATGATACATAGTTTACAGTAGATTCAAACTAAAAACATGTTGTAGGTTTACAAAAAAAATACTGTATTACCAAAGAGCAAGCTTCCTGCCTTTTCACCTGTGACCAAAGTGTCTTAATTGCTGTTTAAGCCAAAGCATTTCCCTTGTGTGGTTAGGGAAGTGTTAGACAGTGTATAAGTTGGAGTGGAACATCATATCTGACAGCAATTTAAAAATAGAAAAGGCTGTCCTTTGTTTGCTGGTCACTGCAGGCCTGATCAGATTCCAGTCCTTCAAGCCTTTTACATCACTGTGCTGTATTTAAGGATGTTGTACACGTGGCAGCAAGGCTGCTGTGTTTTAAAAAGTTAAAGGATATGACTGGTGTAGTTCAATATTTTTCTTATTGTCAAGAAATTCCATGAAAAGACCAAAACCAACAAATCCTGAGTATGTTGCTCAATATTTTCTGTTTTCCTTACCCTGCCTGTGGTGGGTCAGTCCAATTAGTTCCTTCTTTCACTACGAAAAGATAGAACATATTTCCAAGAAACCTTCGCAAATAAAAGATTTACTTGAAGATGTTCTGTTATTTTAGCCTTTGTATTGTAATATCTGTTGTAGTAAGGTTTACTTTGCTTGACACCTTTATATGAGCCAGACTTTCCTCCACAAAAGCAAACATCTCCTTTCATGTAGCACTCATTCCAATGTAGGCTTTTTCAAAATAAATGTAAAATACTGAGTTCCTCAATTGTTACCTGCAACTGTGTTTGTAAGTCGCTGTTGGTCTTTGATCCCCAATGCAGCAGTCCAGTGACTTGTTGACTACAACCAAATCCAGCCCAACCTTCTTGGCTGAAAGGATGGCCAGCGTGAGACACAGACGACAAGAGAGACGTACCATGTAGGTTAATAATCAGCTCACGTTTTTAGACGGATTAATGGGGAAATTCTGTATACTGTTTGCCATCTCTAAAAATTGTGGTATTTAGGGGATCCCCTGTAACCAACTACGTATCTGTAGAAGATAAAGGATTTTCTGTGTTAGTATAGCAGCCCAGGTAAAGTTACATTACATCAAGAGACTATTATCCAAATGATTGTTATTAATCTTCAACCACAGGACAGACAACTTTAACTGATGTAAAAATTCATTTGATGTTGTGGTCTGCCGTGTTCTGCAGGGATTGTAATATCCCCAAGACCAAAATCATCAACTGGGAGCCCACAGAGGAGTTTATGAAGAACAGTCATGTGGTGAATAATGCCATGCAGACCATGCACATCATGGGAGACCTGGGTCCCAATGGAAGGTAAGACCACCAACACAAACCTCCATTTCAGTTCAGCTCAGTTTTATTGTCCCACATGGGTAATACAGGAAAAACAGGCTAATCCATCAGTCTAATACCATAAAGTTCCACCTGATATTACATGCAGTCTGTACGTGGATAATGACGTCTTATCAAAACCTTTAGATTTACACCTGGAATTAATAGAAAGTGTTGATAAGTTGTTCCTGTCCACATTGCAATAAATTTGTAAATTAGATGGGAGGAGCTTATTGACTTTTATTAAATTAGAGGAATTGATTTTGCCGTATGTGCTGTAGTTATTTTTCCTGTGTATTGGAAGACCTCTTCTGTAGCTGTTAAATGGCCAGCTTGAGGTATCACAAAGTTGCGGAGTCAGGAAACATTTCAGGCATGTTGTTTTTTTTATTTTTACAAGCCAAGGAACCTTTCCAGGCTTCACTGAAAGCGTCTAGCCGTAGATGTTGTGTGTTTTTTCTCTCTATGTATTTGCTCTCTTTCTCAGGCTGGGCCAGAAAGAGAACGAGTGTTTGCTGGTAACTATAAAAACAGATGGCAATGGAACGGTCATCGCAAAACCTGATTTCAACAGAGGCAAAGAGCCCTACAGGCAAGTTCACATCTCACGTTCAACATCGCTGGAGGCACAGTAGCAACAGTATTGGCTGATAAACTGTCATATCAGCATGTTTTTAGTGTATGACCTTAACAGAACCCTGTCGTGTAACTTTTCAGCTGCTCCATCAGCCATATTTTGTCACATTGATCCAGAATAAAATATACTGAACAGATATTGGACAGATTTTGATGGGAAAACAAATTAGTCCTTGCCTCCAGGATACAACAAAAACACACAATGAATTAAATGAATGCTAGTTTGATGTGTGTGCTGTTGTGCAGGATCGTGACAGAGGGGGAGAAGAGAGAAGTCTGGCGTCTTACTGTGGAGAATATATCCACAGCCATGAAGCCAGAAGAAAAGGACAGGGAGCAGAACATGTACAAAGATGTGAGTTTATCTTCATCTCCTTTCCTTCATCATCGTTCACGTTTAATGTTCATGTTCGGATGATTGATCAGGGAGTCATACGACAGGTATCAGGACAAGAAAACATTCATTTTCTTTGTTTCTAGCTGTATGTAAGGCACAAGGAGTACCTCAATAGCCTCGTTGGACAGGACTTTGAAATGGTAAGAAATATTTATTGGGAAAATTCCAGAGCTCAAGGTTATTTAGATTGCTTGTTATATCTGACTTACTGTCCAAAATCCCTACTATGTAAATTACTCAGGTAAAATCATACTGTGAATAACACTATGGGGTCTTACCCCCAATATTTACATTTGTTAGGGGATTTTCGTACTCCAAATAATCATTTTTTATACAGAAAAGCACTTTGACACAATGGCTGTTGTCTTAAATGTGCTCTATAAAACATGTTGACTTGACTGTTTTATCTTGTTTGTATTGCAGATTTGGGATCTTAGTTATTAGTTTTAATTAGTTTTAATTTTTTTGAGAAGCTCGAGCCAAATCTAGCATTTTGTTTGTAAAAGATCGTAGCATCAGATTAAATGAGCTCTGTAATTGTTCCTGCAAAGGCTTCTGTATTTACTGGATGTCTCTCCTTCAGCCTCCTGCAGGTATTCTGCGTTACCTCATGAACGGAGAGATAGGTGAGTAGGAAGGCTGTGCTCATTGTCACAGATAACTTTTAAAATCTGTAGCGTTTAAATGTCATTTTTCTTCTTTTCTCTATGCAGTCTCAGCTAAAGGCTTTGAATATGATAACTTATACATCCACTTCTTCATGGAACTGCCCAATAGTGAGTCACATGCCGTTAATAGATCTTTTTGAAAGTTGTTCTCACTTTTAAAATAAATTAAACAAAATTTAATCTTCAGTCTTCTTCAGCTTGTATTGTTTTTGCTTTCTTTAAGATTGGTCCAGCTTGCCTTTCCAGTCTCTGTCAGGGGTTACCCAGACCTGCCGGACCAAAACATCAGGGAAGGTGTGTATTTAATGTTAGAAACTTGTTAACCGCCTCACACCATGCCTAATTAAATTTTGTTAAATCCTCTACTCTGTGTCTGCCAACAGGAAAACGTAGCTTTCTTCAGTTACCCCTTCAACTTCGAGGCTTTCTACATGAGTGAAAAAGAAAGTGAAGGTTAGTAACGACCATTGAATATTGCGTTTAAGTGGATTGCTGCATTTTTAAGCGTGGACTGATGTGTTAGTTTCTATATATGATTTCAGAATCAATACTCCAGTGGCCAGTGCTGTACTTCAAGGTTCTTTCTCTGGATTCCTGGCAGCGCTATCGAACTGAAGGCTACGGCTATCTGCTTTTTCCTGCCATGCCTGGTACGCCGTATGTACTGAAAAACTGAGAGACTGCAATTACGATGGCAAAAAAGTTGCCGGGAGGATTTTTCTGCTTAATTCACAAATCATTTTTTCTATAAATGTCACAAAATAACGGGGAAAAAACACTATAATCTCCCCAAGCAAGATATGACATATTAAGATTATTAGTCTTGTTTGACCAGCAATTCAAAACACAAAGATCTTCAGTTCAGACTCATATACTGGATTTTGGTTATTCATTTGCAGGAGAGATTGCAGGGATTTACTGTAAAATGTCTGACTTAATCACTTATTTTGTTATGATTTGTTTGTGTGTGTGTGTTGCCAGGTAAACACACAGTGACGTGCCACACATGGAGACCACTCCAGACAGGGACAGTCTCTGCACTGAGGCGTTTCTTTATCGGAGGTTCTCCAGAGCTTGAAGACCACAGCTACGTCCGAATACCAGGAACCTTCAAGGTAAGCTCAACAACGATTTCATTTTTATTTTTACTGGTCAAAGATACAGATTTTATTTATAAACTGATCTTCTGTTGGTGAGGACACTTGAGAACAGGGGTTTGCAAACATTTTTCGTCAAAGGTTTGCATCTGATTTCTATTCTGTCGTATTTATACGACACTGAACAGAAAGATGCCACCGAACGTAACTTCTCTGTTAAACTGGTCCCAAAGTCATCACTCACTTGGTTGAAGTGACTGGCTAATGCTTGAATCCTGCACAAACTTAACACAACTGTATCTGTAGGTCAGTTTACAACCATGATTACAAGCCACTCCGCTCTTGAACGTGACTGATTTGAACTGTTTTCTGTTTGCTTGTTTCCTTGTTGTTATTCATTATTTGATTGTACTTTCTATGTCATTGCAGATAAAAGCATCTACTCAACGATTTCTCACGATTTAAATAAAGGTTGAGGTTCAGATTAAATTGCAATAACAAAATAATATTTACTCAACTCAAGGTTCAGTGCAGTCAAGAGAGCAACAGTACATTAAAGCTGAGTGGGAGAAATAACAGCCTACAGTCAGTTATATCATTGTGACCCCTAAACTCTGATGTGTGATGGGACAAATAAGACACAGACAGTTATGGCTCAGACAGTTAATCTATGTTTATGTCTGTCTCAGACATGCTCTTAGATTCACTCTAGTTCCTGGTTGACTGCTTTTTTTAAGGTATCATCCTGTATCTGTGATTTAGGAGCTGATTACACATATTTGGTGTCCTGTTAATCCTTATACTCGGCAGCAACAACAAACAAAACTCTCTCCAGCAGTGACAACGATGTCCACAATCAGAAAATAAGCCACATCAGAGCCACATTAATCCAGAGACAGAAACGCTGTAAATAATTTCCAGCTGCACTGCAAATACATTTTATTGATTAACAGAAAATGTATTTCAAAATTGAAAACAGATAATAGTGTATTATATTCATAATGTCAGGTATGGGCTGGGTCTGGATCGAGTTGCTGTCCGGTCAGACTGAGGTGTGGACTTTGAGAAGCCCTGCTTTGAAATCAACTTCTAATTGAAACTGAAAATTAAAAAAAAGGATAGAAAACACAAAAAAAACATTGAACATGCTGCCACTGATTTAGGAAATGAACACTATTCTTGTTGCATATATTGTTCTCACCAGATAAAAGGAGTGTGCTTAAACATTTTGCTTCTCAAACAGATGCAAAGCCAGTTTTGTGAATATTTTGGACCGTCAGTGTTTATATGCATGTTTTATGTTATGTTATTAATGGAAATGAATAGTGCTTCTAATAAGTACTATAACGCTTGTGTGTGTCTGCAGGGAGAGAGGTTGAGTCGGTTTGGCTTTTGCACTGAAACCACAGGAAGTGTCACCTTTAATCTACACTGCATCCAGCAAGCCAGGTAAGATACAGAGTAGACTCAACATGACCTGCCGTGAATGATCAACACTGAAGGAAAACACAACACTACATTTCTGTGATTGCTCTGCTCTGGATCTGCATTGTTACAGACTGATCATGTGTCTCATGTAGCTTGAATTATATTGTTGTAATAGTTTCAACACAACAACAGATCTGCACCATCACAGCATGTCTGTCACACACTGTTATTTTTCCCATGGAACAACATGTGAACATCAGGAACCAAATTCAGCTCATTTACTTGAACAGAGACACATTGCTGAGGTGAAACTCAAATTATTAAATTTTTGCAAGAAAATTGGTGTCTCAGTTTTGAACCCAGCAACTAAACCACTGCTTTTTTAAATAAGTCTCTGTGTTGCAAATCGACTCCAAATGGCGGAAAAAAAATAGCAACTCCATCTAAATTTATCAACAAAGCTCTGTCAGACGTTTCAGATCAGGCTCCTGACAAAATCTATCCAGACTCTGGCTCTAGTCTCTGATCTAGATGCTTATGTGGAAGATGAATAATAAATTAAATATGAAAAGTCTAATGGAATTCTTTCCCCAGTACTTGCAGTAATACAAACAGGATTTAAATATGTGTGTAGGTGTCCAATTAACAAACAGTTTGCATCCAGCTTTCTGTGATATAAGTCACTTATCATCATTTATCAAAACATTAAATAGATATTTTTTAAAATTTGCTGCACAGCATGGCTTAACATGTTTATGTTTAATATGTTGCAGGTCCTTTGTTGATGCTGCTCTGTTGAAGAAGAGGAGACAGAAAGTTTTTGACCAGCTCGGAGGATTCAGTCAACAAGGAGCAGTTTGCACCATCCTGGGTAAAGAGACTTTGTTCACTGAGCTCAAGTTGTGGAGGTTTGAAGATCAGTTCAAAGTCTAAATTAAGTGGGAGATCAGCTTTTTAGGACATATTCAAAATATTTAAAATGTAGATATCTGGGTTGCAGCCAAGTTGGTCAATGAGGCCAAAACATTTGCAGAAAAAACAGGTGAACAGTATCATACTTTAGTGCTACTTTATGACAAAGACAAGACAAGAAAATACTTTGTCTTTAAATGTTAAAATTGTGTCTTTTTAAAAAAAAAAAACAAACAAAAAAACATTTTCATTACACATTGGTAATTAGTATTTTTTTTTCCTCCCTCAGAGGCCTTCCAGCGAGCCAGGAAAAATATGCAAGAGGCCCGAGAAAGTCTTCCAAGAGACCTAATCAGCGCCACTTCCCAACTCCAACTTGAATCCTCTGCATAGGTGTGAAGAACAGTGCTGGACTGTCATTCTGTCAGATACACATAAAAAGGTCAAATAGCCACTCTTTTGAGGCTTTGAACAATCAGTAAGTTTGAAATTAGGAGTGTGATATAACATAACCTGCTTTATTCTGTGTATGTACAGCTAACATGCAGGATGCTTGGAGGAGTCATAATTCAGTTAAAATATGAATTTATGTGGTAATTGTTACGGAGTAAAGCCAATATGCCTACTAAGTATGGTTTCACCTGGCAGTGTATTCTATGTGCAGTGAGTATTTTGAAAACTGATATAACAGAAAGTACATCTTTTTTTCTTTTTAAAATTTTGATTGTATGAGTTATTTTAGACATTAGAATAATATTGGCTGTAATATAAACCTTTTATATGCAATATTACTGTTTTGTGTCTTTTTTTGTGATTAGCGCCATTTTCATTCAAGTTTAATTCAAAATTATCTTTGCTCTACATATTTGGGAAATAATAGTAAAGTATAGCACTGTTGCCTCGCAGCAAGAAGGTTGTC